GTCCAGGGGGGATTTAGGGGGGTCAGGGGTGTCTGGGGGGGTTCAGGGGCTCAGGGGGGCTTCAGGGGGATCTGGGGGGGTCAGGGGGGTCTGGGGGGGTTCAGGGGGGGCCTGGGGGTCTTCGGCCCCCCCAAATCCTCCCCAGTTCCCCGCCAGGCCGCCAGGGGGCGACACCCCCGGCCAGCGGGAGTGGGCGTGGTCACGGTGGAGTGGGCGTGGTCATGGTGGAGGGGGCGTGGTCACGGCAGAGCGGGCGTGGCCATGGCGCGGCGGGAAACCCCGCGCGGGTCACGTGGTGCGCGCGGCCGCGCGTCACGTGGTGCGGACAAGATGGCGGCGCTGAGGGCGGTGAGCGGCCCGGGGTCACCTGAGGGGGGGGAGGGAAGGGAAGAGCCCCCCAAACCCCCCCCAGTGACCGCGGGACCCCCCAAAACACCCCCGGGTTTGAGGAGGGGGCGGCCTGGGGCGGTTCTGGGGGGTCCTGAGCGTTTCCCCACAGGTGCGTCCTTCCCTCCAGGTGTGCCCCCCTCACCTGTCCCCTTCCCCGGGGGTCCCTCAGTCACCCCCCGCTTCCCTCCCTCCCCCAGATCGGGGGGTCCCGGGGCGCCCCCGCCCTTCGGCCCCGCCTGGGGCAGAGCCGGGGGGGCTCCGGGGGGCTCCGGGCTCACCTGGACAGGTGGAGGCAGCACCTGGAGGGGGCCGCGGGCTGGGCCGAGCGGTGGCGGCTGCGGAAGCTGAACGCGTGAGACTCGAAAATGGGGAGGGGGCGGAATTTGGGGTGGGGAGGGGTCTCAGCTGGCTGAGGGAGGGGTCTCACCTGGCTGGGGAGGGGTCTCAAGGGGGGAGGGGTCTCACCTGGCTGTGAGGGGGGAGGGGTCTCACCTGGCTGATTGGGGGAGGGGTCTCAAGGGGGGAAGGTCTCACCTGGATGAGGGTCTCACCTGGCTGGGGAGGGGAGGGGTCTCACCTGGCCTGGAGGGTCTCACCTGGCTGGGTGGGGGAGGGGTCTCACCAGGTGTGTCCCCCCAGGTACCGCAGCTCCCTCAGGGAATCCCTCGGGCCGGACGCGGCGGCGGCCGAGTTCACCTGGGCCTGCGGGGGGGGCGTCAGGTGAGACCCCCGCCCCTTTTGGGGGGTCCCTGCCCCACCCGGGGGGGGGGGGGGGGGCCCCC